ATAAATTAAATGTGATTGCCAAGAAGGGAGATGAAAGGGTGCACGGTAGATACTGAAACTCACCAACAGCAAATTAAAAGTGATTGTCAAAAACAAAGATTGAAGGGTGTGTGGCGAATGTTAAGACTCGCCAACAGTAAATTAAAAATGATTTCTAAATTTAGACTGCTCAGTAAGATTGAACCTAAACCCAAATGCCTAGTAGGAGAATTGTAAAATGCATCTCAGGCCTAAATTACTAGTGGGATTAGATTCGAATCCACACAATTAGCAGGAGAAATGAAAATGCAAGTTCTGAATTGCCCGACTTGAGAAATAAAATGCAATGGCTAGATTGTTGAATAGAACATTGAAATGGAATACCATGCTATTAAGACAAATGAAAATGCAAAATTTGTACTACCGGTCGTGAAGATTAAAACACAAGTTGGTCAAACATAACATATGCCATGCCAAACTTATTCCAATGATTGATTTTTTTTTTTTTATCATGAGAAGACGAAAGAAATAGATTTTAGATTTTTTTAAAGAAACCCAAAAGTGACATATTTTGGAGTTTGGAAAAAAATTTGAATGCAACAATTTCTTCAGGAGACTACAAAAACATGTACACATCATTATCCTCTAAGAAACTCTTTTTGTTAAACGAATTTTGAATGCAATGTTGAAATCAGATATCATTCCCTTTTTAAAAATTGCCCCAGTGCAAACCATGCTTAAATTTGTTGCGCCTTCATTCCTTCAGAAAAATGCAATAATTATCGCATAATCTTACCTACGAAAGAAAAAAGAACAATCCTGTTGAAAAGACAATGCCAGATGTGAAAATATGAGTTTTTAATGTTGAGAGATTGACCCTTTAGATCTGCTCTGCAACCTGTTTCGAATCTTTGCAACTTTCTAGTATCAATCATCCACACTTTATTGTCACAAGACATCCATTTTCATGACTTTTTGTGATAAATAACGAGGATTGCCTTTCAAGCGAGATCCAATACATGAGATATATGAACTATTGAAAAAACATATTATTTTTCATGCAATGATGCAGATATGAAGTAAACAATGATACAAAAATAAATAAATATAATAAATATAAAAATTTATTAAGTTTATGGGCACTAATCCAATGACTCCAAAAAATTTGATACATATTCGGATGATGGTTTTTAATGAAGAAAAATGCCCCATTTGACCCCCTTTTTATGTCATCCATTTGAAATTTAATGTCTGGAAAAGAATAACAGTAAGAAAATAAACCCAGATGAACATAGTCACTAGCTTTTGGACCTTAGCATCTTGCCGTTCGTTTATGATTTTCTTGTGCTCCAAAACCCTAGCTTAGCGTCCTTTGGGGTTTTCACTAAGGTTACCCAACTCATTTTTTTTTCTTTTTTCTTTTTTTCCTTTTTTCTTTTTTTTCATCATTTTTCCTTTTTCCTTTTTTTATCATTTTTTCTTTTCTCTTTTTTTCTTTGAAAGAAGAGGCACCCTTTGGAATTTTCACCTTGAGATATGGACAATGTCATGAAATGAAATAAACAATTTTAGCCCCAACTATATCAATTCCGTCATATTTTTTGATAATTAATGGCATTAGTGAAACAATATTCTCTGACAGGTTTTAGAAAACATGTATTTACCTTATTTGCCAATTGATTAACAAAATGTTTCCTCAAAAAATACTGCAATAACATTTTGGCTTTTATAATGGGGTCCAATAGAGTCTAAAGAAAAGGTTAAGGCTTGAAGATAGATCATGAAATAGCTTTGAACTAATTCTAATATCGCAATCTTTCAAAATTTGCCCAGTGTAGGGTTGATAAGAACTAAAAATTTGCTCCAATCTAATTCTAATTGAGCTTCTCTTTTCTTCTCTTTTTCACTCACTTTTTTTCGCTGCTTTTCATTCTTCCTTTTTCTTCTTTTTTTTTTTTGAAAATAGAAATAAAGAAATAAAAAACATTTGCCCCAGTATGGGGTTTGCGATCTTTGAAGGCTACCAAGTTTAAAGAGTAGATTATTCTGAAAGTTTGAAAGAGAAAACTAGGCATAAAATGTCCAAATGAAAAAGAAAGAAGGCCCGCCCTAAGCCTATCTTTTGCAGTAATTTCAAAAAAAAATCTTCATAATCAAATGAAAAACTTATTACGCATGTCTAAATTGATTAGTTGAAAAAAAACTTGCCCATCTATATTCATGAGAATAAGTGCTTGTAGATACCAAAATTTCAATTCTATTTAATTTCATTTTAATTTTAATTTCATTTGATTTTAGTTAATCGAAGTTCTCAAAATGATATTTAGCTATTTTTATTGAATTAGGGTTCATTTTCTTTTTAAATAATTTCCAAAAAAAGAAAATTCTCACACAAATTTGTTTTTAATCTTTTCAAATTTAATTTCTTTCAAATAAAATGAAATTTTTGTAAGGCAATCTCAATTAGGAATTAACATTTTGTTCACCCTAAATTTGTTTCTAAAAAAAAATAAATAAATAAAAAAGGAAAAACAAGATAGGCGAAAGACATGCATAGTAGCTAAGTGGGATGGGTAAGCATTAGCCATGTGGTTTCGGCATTTTGCACAACACATGCAAGAGAAGTATGTGGCTAGGACAGGTGGAGTTTGGAGGAAAATCTGAAAACAAAAAAGAGGAAAATCAAGGGAAGAGCTTCGGGGGGGCTGAACAGGAAGAAAAGAAAGAAAGGAAGAAAAAGGAAGGAGGAGAACCGAGAGAGGAAAAAAGAGATTGAGAGGGGACGCTGAACAAAAGAGGAGGAACAAGAGGGAAGAGAGGGGATCAGAAAAGAAACAACAGAAAGAAAACAAAAAGAAAGGGAGCTTCGGGGGCTGGGAGAGGAAGAAGAAAGAAAGGAAGGAAAAGAAGGGTTTCGGGCAAAGGAAAAAGAGAAGAAAAAGGGAGAAAGAAAAAGAGGGAGAGAAGCTGTGGGTAAGGCAGGAGAGAAAGGAAAAAACTGAGAAAGTGAAACAAGAGAGAATCTGGGGTGAGAACAAGAAAAAGGAGAACGAAACTGAGGAAGAAACTGGGGGGGAAGAAAAAAGAGCTTTCGGGTAAGAGAAGGTAGAGGCTGCGAAGGGAAAAGAAAAGAGCTTTGGGACTGAGGAAGAAACGATGAAAGGAAAAGAGAAAGAAAGGCGGAACCTGGGAAGAAACTGAGGGAGGAAAAACCAGAAGAGAGGCTTCGGGGGAGAGGAAGGCAGAGGAGAAACGAAGAAAGAAAAGAAAAGAGGGTTGCGGGAACCCGGCAAGGGGGGAGGAAGGAAAAAGGAAAGGAGAAAAGGAGAAGAGAAGAGAAAAAAGGAAGAAGGAAAGGATAGAACAACAGATGAGAGAGTAGAGGGGCGGCGAAAACAGCAAAAAGAGAGAGAGAATGAAGAGAGAAAGAGCAGAAAAAAATTTCTGCAAAATTTCATGACCAGGCTGGTGAATTCCGGCGTAGATGTTAGGTTTTTTAGAGGAATCTTGCTTTTTGCACCATCTATGGATACCCATGAACAACTTTTGTTCAGAAATCGTTTAACAACTTTTCTGCACCATCTATGTCTCTTTCATTTCATTTACAAATTGAATTTGATCACGTTTCTCCACATTCATATTTTTGGGATTTTGCAAAGTTTGCTCTTCGTTTTTTGAGATGAGGAGCTCAACTCTCTTTGCCAAATTTGATATGACGGTAGTTACTAATTTGGTGGTCTCCTTTGACATTGCTGCCTGAGTAGCAACCTTAATCATGGTTGGAGCAAACTCCCGATAATGAGTTGAAAAGATTACTTTTGGATCAGCCACAATTTCTCATCCTCGCCGATCAAAACAATGTCCTGCATGAGCTTTTTTTGTCCATCACCTCTTAACATATTCAGGAGAAATTGTCTTTATGCTCACGGTATCAAACACCTTCAATGCATGCCTACACAAAATTCCTTCATTCTCATATTTTTTGCAACTCTAGTGCACATTTAGATCATTCCGATTGAATACCACTATTCTTTCACATCCTCCATCATACCTCATGATCACAAATTTCACGAACATCCCTGCATCCTGTTTGCCCCAATATAACCATAGCTATTGATTCACCATACTCATTATGGGATGTAATAAATATGGTAGGTGAATACATCTCTGATATATGCACAAGCATAGGTGTTTGCCTCAACCCTACCATGAGGAGCTTTTGCCTCATTTCATATTCTGCGGTGAGTTTATTATGTCTCTTTCATCAATCACGCGATTGAAATGTCTAAAGAACTGGACAAGGTCATGATCTAGTTTCAGATGATTTTTAATTACTGCATTTAAGATTTCGCTAAATTGGATGTTTCACATTCCCACAGTCCATCTTTCTTTCATCATGTACCTTGCCCATATATCGCAAATTCGATACAGCCCGGAAAGCTATTCATTATTTTCAAAATTGTGTTTCTTCACCATCGCCTTCCACACCCTATTGAATTGTCCCACTTCTTCAATCTCATACATGCAGGCACCAAACATGTATGGAAGGTCACTATTTTTCTTGTAGTGATTATCGAGATGTTTTATAAAATTACGCCGTATATGAAACATACATAGACCGTGAAATGTTTGGGACATAATAAGTGAAAAAGCGGCTAACATGACGTGATCTTGGTCGGTTAGTATAGTATTTGGATGCTTTACGCACATTGCTTCTAAAAATGTACCAAACACCCATTTAAAAGAATCTATCGTTTCATCATACATAAAGACAGCACCGAATATCACAATTTGCCTATGCTGGTAAAACCCACAAATACTCTAAGTGCCCGATATTCTTTATTTGTTTTGTATGTTGTGTCAAATGTGACTACATCTCCAAAAAAGTTGTAGTCAATTAACATTCCTGCATCAGCCCAAAAGATACTCGTTATCTGCTCTTTACAATCCTGCTACACGGTATGAAAAAAGGATAGATTCTCGAGTGTTTACTCTTGAAAATAATTCAACATGCTACCTGTTTATCCATATTTCAAACTCCTTTCCCGTTTCGTACAAAGATATTGCTTAAAGTCATCCCGAGTATATCCCATATTGCCCATCTCACCTACCTCCTTTCCCACAAGTTCATGACTCTGTTTCAGTGAAAACCCGGCATCCTCACTTATTTCAATTTTGAATCCTTGAACCTCACTCACTTTTCTTTGTAATGGCATCATGTGCGAACATTGAGCAATGTGCAACTCATGATTATGCTCTAAGACAAGGTCATGTACACGGTATTTCATTGTCCCTCTATGCAACACGATAATTATTTTAACTCCACATCCTGTTTTCGTCAGCGTCCGTGTCCTCTTTGGCATCACATCACTTTCGTACTTGCGTTTCACGCTTTCTTTGCAACAACTATATCTCCTATACGTGGTCACACCGTTTTTGTCTTTATTTAGATAGTCTTTGCATACGCTGAAACCCATTTTAAAGGCATATTTGTTGTAAAATTTGTACGCATCATCTTCACTGTTGAACTCCATTTCTAACTCAGGGGTCCCATCTTCTACCAATTTGCTGCAATCCATTACTTCTGCTCTTACCAATTATGCATCAAACATCCTAATTTGCAACTGTTCATAAATAGTATATACATAAACGACAACATAAATATATATTAGCATTCACAATATGTGTTGTGTTATAGACGTTACTCATATACCAAGTCCTATTATTATGCCTATCAATATAATTAATGATTCACATTACTTTACTCTTCCTTTACGACAACGACATTATCTATATACAAATACAACTCCATGTACACTAATTTATACGGACTATAATGTGTTGGTCACATGATATAAGTATATTTTAACGGTATGTACATCCACTCTAATGATTATATTTAGGTTCTAGGTACTTTGTTTTACTGGATCTTATGTCATTCGTTAGTATTCACCGCCTGAGCCAACTTCGCATTTTCTACTATTTCTACATTTTGAGGGCCAAACCAACATTTTCTACTTATTGTAATATATCATGTAATTTACTTATAACACCAGGTACACCCATTTATTATTCACATATATGTCTTTTCCTCTATTTCACCTCATTTAATTCTACACCTCCATTTTATACACACTGCAAGGCCAGGAAAGGGGCAAACTAAGATTGTGTGATAAACATGGACCAACTACTGGATGCACAATGATTCATATCAATTGTAATACGGTGGCTATAACCTATAACTTATTTATAATAGGATGTACATTTATTCGCTCGTTAAATGTGACTTTGTTTCTCTCCTCTTTCCCTCATTCCGCTCGACGCTTTACTTGAATACATACCCTTAGGTCTTTGGATACTACTATCCCATTATAGTCCATCACTGAAAAGCTGAACGCTCACACACACACACATATGCGGTAGAACTTCACTATTCTTCTATTATCTTCATCTTACGTCTTTACTGACTCTAATTTCATCTTTCATTTTACAAATGTACATTGGGTGACAAATGATTGGCCACAATTGCTAACATGGTTTAGTCACGTTACCTTGGTCCGCTGAGCGTTTTATGTTTCACCGAACTCGGAGAGCACAATTGCTTTTGCTATTAAGCTGCACGACAAATCTGGCAAATGTGAGATGACGAATTTCCTCTGTTTGCTTCTATCTGGCCATCTGCCTTGCATGCATTGCTCGTGAATTTTCCTACCAACTTTCACCTTCTTCTACTGCTTTACCTCCCAAAGCTACCTGCAAAATCAAACTAACCCTTCAATCTTCATTCAAAATGCTCCACAACACTCTTACTGCACTGTTTGCCTTCTTCCTTCTTCACGCAAAACCATACCCCAACTCTCTCCACCTAGTTTCGTGTCAATTGCAACATTGACATACCAAACCCACTTTCTTCCCTTGGTTTTGTTTTGTGCGGCTAATTCAAATTTTCAACTTGATTTTCAAAATTTGAATTCTTTCGTTTGCTCTAAACGGATCCCGTTAGGGCTAAACTTTTTCTTTTGTGGAACAGTAACATTTTTTGACCATCAACACAAGTAGTTGACGTGGATCATTTCTCGCCTTATGTCCAATCTTGTGAGGAGACCGCTTGGGAACGGTCTATCTGATGACCGTTCCTGCCCTTAATCCTTTGGCCATTATTTGACTCATGTAGATGATCCTTCCAATTATCTCTCCGATAGATTATAGCCACGAAATAATATTCTAACAAATGACATAATAAAAAAAATAAAAAATTAAACCTTGCTATTAGACAGTGAAAATGGTAGCCAAAATAGCCCATCTAAACTGGATATACATTCAACTAATTGTTGCACTATATAGACTTCCATGTTAGAGACCTAAACGTGGTATTGACCCTACGCAGCCAAAAAGTGAGCAAAGCCAAGCAATTGCATCAAAGAAAATCATGTAACATATATTCTGTTGGTTATCATATAATAGAACAATCAAAGCACAAATGCAAAAACAAACTTTGTCTTATCTTTTTATTTCAAACTATTCCTAGTAGCTCCTGGAAAAGTAGAATACGAAAGGAAGTCAACTAAAATATATAGAGGCTGTCAAGCTCCATTACTAAAAGAATCTATCTCCAAGAAAATCAAAAAGGGTTAACTGATAGTAGACAATATCAAAATGCAAAACGACATCCTGTTCCATCAAGAAAACGATCAGTATGCCACCCTTTTGCCTGCAACTCAGACAGAAATGGACGAAACACAGTATCCATCCTCTCATATGCTGCTTTTAGAATACTTGCACTCGTATCATCAACAGACTTCTCCAAGTCTGCAGTAAAAGCAGCAACAAGCCAACCTCGCAATGCATCTTCAGCTGTAGCATTATGCTCCAATATCAGGTCAGTCTGTCTAGATCCAGAACTTAGAAGAAATCTCTCCTCCGGGAATATTTCTTTAAGTTGTTGCAGCTTTGAAGGCTTAACTACCATGTGCAAAGCACTACCAACTTTGACATTTCCAGCATCCTCAATAAGTCTTCCTGGAAACAATAGATCTTCCCGATATCTAAGGTCAGCAGGGCTAGATATCCTTCCTGTCTAGTATCATTGCGAACTAAAAGTAAGTTAATTGGGAACAAGAACAAACACGAACATCTTATGGTTGCATTCAGAGAGAGAGAGCATCCAAGATTACCTTCACAAAATCTGCCACTAACATTGCAGTTCTCTGCGGATTTAAAGTGTTTACTGGAGCAGCTCGCATTTCTTCGCAAACACTATAAATATGTATGACGGAAAGAACAGGTCCAACTAACAACTGCAACATTCATAAATTATGGACAGATAAGACTTTATTAGAATTACAGCAACCTTCACTCAACATTTATGAAACCGAGGGCACAATCTGCAAAGGACAGTTTGATGCCGTCGGGCCAATTTGATTATTTGGCACACCGAACTGGTTTTCTTTTTACTAGAAACATTGCATGCACCAACTTCAACATTTATTTTCACGTATTTCCTTCCTTCAATTGGCATATTAAAGTATAAAATCCATAGATTACCTTAGCTATAATTTCCAAAGTAGATGCATTTACATTGGACTGACCAACCCATGCTATCTCCTTGCATACACAACCACCCTGCCCCTGTTTGCTTGGCTACATCAACCCCATTATTTTCATGCTTGCTATAATTTATAGGATTTAGCTTGTCAGACGAATCTGCAGAAAATCAAAACGAACTCAATTGAGTTGGATCCAGTCACTTACCCACAAGGTCAAATGTTTCCCTTATTTTCTCCCCACCTGGTAACCCCCCCCCCCCCCCCCCCGCGGCCGCCCCCCCCAACAGAAAAAAAACCCCCAAGGGGCAGAGAGAAGTTTGTTCTCTCCTATACGACCATTATAGGGTTCTCTAAAGAGCAATGTGCTCCTTCATAAGTATTTACTTCTTCCTTCTGGTTTCGTGAATTTCATTGCTGAACTCCAGCCCCCTCTCATTTAGAAATTCAATATCTTGATCAAAATTCTTACAGCGAATTGTAAAATTTCTCAAGGCTAGGAGCCAATGCATTCACATATAAGCAAAGAATGGTTCTTTAAGAGAAAGGTTGGTACAATTTCCTGGCTGGGAAAAAGGAAAAAAAAATCTCCAACATCAAAAGTTAAAGTGTCGAATACCAAGGCAACTGCACATAAACACAAAAGAAATTCAGGGACTTTTAAAATAGTTGCACTAATGCAATGCCAACAACTGCTTGTGATGTGCATGACATAGTGTAAGAAATAGCATATCACAGCACAATTGATCATTCTAATATCTTATAAACTAAAAACTCATCCATTAGATCTTCCACAGAATTACATGATATTTACAACCCCAAACCTATAACTATCACCACAGTACAGCCTCCATGAGCCCACAAGTAAGCTGCAGCATCAGTGTCCTCATCCTTATTTGCCTCTCAAAATTTCTTAGCCACTGACTCTAATCTTTCATTTGTTTTTTGGCTTTTTAAGAATGCCTCTTCAGTTTCTCTATTTGCATGCACAGCCTCCGTGTGCAGTCCAAGTGCTGCATATATCTATTCAATCTAAAACCTTACATGGGCCAAGCTGTTATATCAGGTTTACCATTAGTCTACCTGTCAATGAATATTACCTTGCCAACCAAATAAAGAAGCAATGTGGACAAGAATCTTTCACTGAAAGTACCAGAGTTTATTACAACTTCCAGCTTTACATTTTCTGCATTGATTTAACTCTAAGGCTGCTTTAGTTACCCTGAAACTAACTCAACATGTCCAGGGATTTATGGGCCCCTATCGTTACAGGTTGGAGATTTATTCATGCCTTAAGTGCATCTTAATCTGTGCTCTCTAGCATTCGAAACTAGTACCACTCACCTTCAGTGAGTTAGGACTTATCTTCATAACCAAAAAGAGAAAACGTTAGAATGTACTTGGTAGTTACAAGTTCATAAAATTATTACGAGAAAAATTATTTCTAGTAAACAAAAATGTGTGAAATTCAAGGTAGTTGATGGCAGGAGATAACCATACCTTTCCCTGCATTGTTGAACATACAGTAGATGCTAACTGAATTCCAGCTCCTATTCCAAGAACATTAAAAAGAGTGGAAATTGCCTCACCCTTTGCAAAAAGATCACTGAGATTGCCTTCTTTGGCAAAGGAGGAATATATTGGCAATCTTGTAGCTCTTGCAGCAACCACTGCCATTCCCTGTTATGCCAGATAGGCGCATACAAGCTACAGTTCAAGATACAAAACAGGGGAAAGTCTCAATTATGAAATGAATGGATATCTCTACTGCTAACCTTTGCAAAATTGCCAAGGCCTGCCATTTCAAGAAATAACTGTGGACACACGGGGGAAAGAACCTCAAATCCAGTACCCAAGTCATAGAGAACATCAGCTGCAAGAAAGACATTCCTCTGTACTTAGAAGATGAAAACAACCACAACCATGAAATGAAAGAAATATTTTTAATCAGAATAAGCAGAAAAAATAAAAAATAAAAACCATAGATTTGCAGTTCAAAAAACCAAACCAAGAATTCTCCAACGTTTAGGCTCCGA